TATTAGATTCAGTAGCAAATCTCATGTTTGTATGTCTTTGCAGGTACTTCAGAATAGTTCTGAGGTAAAAGGGCGAGATCATTTTGAGGATGGCAAGGGGCACGAGTTGAGCCGAGGCCATGGGACTTGCTCACTAAGACTACCTCAGGACTGTTATGAAATTTGGCAGATGGATGTCAAAACAGCTTTCCTCAATGGGTTTTTCAGGAAAACATCTATAGGAACAACCGATAGGTTTTGTATCCCTGCTGAAAGACATAAGGTAGCAAATGCATCGATCCATTATGGATGAGAGCAAGCTTCAGAAGAGTGGAACATTCGATTTGACGACATAATCAAATCGTTTGGTTTGTGCAGATCCGGATGAGCCCTGTGTATACCAATGGGTTAAAGATATGCCAACATTTCTCATATTATATGTAGATGACATACTTTTGATGGGAAATGATATAGGCATGATGACAGAGGTTAAGGTTTGGTTGTCCAAATCTTCCGATGAAAGACTTAGGAGAAGCAACATTGTGCTTGGCATTCGTGTGTCTAGAGATAGAACAAAAGGGTAATTGGATATCCCAAAAATGTACATAGAGAAATGCTAAAAGATTAGCAGGAGAACTCTAAGAGAGGTCTTTTGCCTTTCACTCACGGTCTTATCTTTCTAAGGAGATGGGTCCAAAGACCGATGAAGAGCGGCAGCGGATGCGTAATGTGCCTTATGCGTCTGCCGTAGGTAGCTTAATGTACGCAATGCTATGTACAAGACCTGATATAGCTTATGCTGTAAGTATTACGAGTAGATATCGTCAAACCTAGGGGAGACATTGGTCGGTTGTAAAATCGATCCTTAAGTACTTGAGAAGAACTAAGGATCTAGTTCTGAGTTATGGATGTTCCGAGTTAACATTCAAGGATACTCAGATTCTGATTTCCAATCAGTATTGATGATAGAAAGTCTACGTCAGGGTACATTTTATAGTAATGGAGGTGCTGTTAGTTGGAAAAGTTCCAAACAGACAACCACAGCTGACTCCAATCAGAAGCTGATACATTGCTGCTCGGAAGCAGCGAAGGAGGCTGTTTTGGGCGAAAGTTTGTAATTGAACTTGGTGTGGTTGAACATGGCTTACCGATAAGCATGATCTGTGACAATACTGGAGCTAGCACCAGGCACAAGGAAACCAAGGGCACACCAAAATCCAAACACATTCAGCGTAAGTATCACATTTGAGAGAATTCGTTGGAGCTGGAGAGATTTGATCTTGAAGACTCCTCAGCAGAAAATGTAGCTGATCCACTGAATAAGGTGAGATACGAAGCAATTGGACCATCATCTTGAGAAGATGGGTATGAGATAACACATCGAATGGCTTTAGTGCAAGTGGGAGTTGTTAGTGTATATAGTGTATGCCCTAGAAAACCATTCATGTTGTCGGTTTCAGAGCATTTTGTCTTGTATCTATATATATCATAAATATAGAGAAAGAGTTCTTCAATTCATATATGTAAATTGCTTCCTTTATTCAGTCATGCATTTAAAATAAAGTATGTATATGAATTGTCCAGATGATTCATTTAATAGGTAAATGAATTTCAAAAAGGGTTCCTATGGAAGCAATATAAATTGGGCAACTATATTGCACAGTAGGCATATCGGATGCTTCGAAAGATATCATGAGTTGATATAAGTATGGATGACGATGATAGTCATGTCACTGGGGCATTGGTATGGATTAACGGTTGGTGAACTGTTTTTCGAATGTGAAGAATAACGTAAGTCACTTGGAAAAGCATGTAGTAATGATTTATCGTTTGGTATATCAGTGCACGATGTAGTCGTTTGACCTGAGACATTGTAGTCGGATCGATATGGATCCGTATGGTTCATCGGTGTTAGTAGGAGAATATCATGTTTTACAATAGCCTATTTGGTCATGCGTTGTTCATATGCGGAAACGAACGATGGTCAAGAGGGGATCCATAGACTCGGAATATAGGATTAGGAGTACCGCTGACTCATCCGGATTCAAGTTCTAGCAGAACATCGATAAATGTTGAACTGAATCTCTGGCAGAGTCTATTATTAGTCCTAACAAAGTAAGTTTGTGATGACAAGTTCCGGACATATTGATCGAAAATTCGGTAAAAGATCGAGTTTAGGATTTTGACGTTCCATGAAACCATACTCATTAGGATCTCAATGGAGGGACTTTACCTGCATGGTACCTATGATCTGAAATGGGTTGATGAAGTATTTCTTCATCGTGGTTTAGGGACTATGGCAAATTGCGGATGTTTACCATAGTGTGGGCCTTCCGAACAGGTTTTCAGATTCATCCAGAACCGGCTCACGGCTAATCCACGGTGGGACCTACATGGTCACACCAATAGCCTTGAGAAGTTAGAGAAGGATGAGAGAGAGAAAAGATTATCCGAAGAGGCTAGACCTTCGAGGGTAATAACGGGATTTCTATAGTAATAGTTACATAGAAATCATTTGTGACATTTTAAGGGTTAAAATGGTACGCAATAATAATTATATTTAATTATATCTTAAAGTGTTAAGATTAATGAGATGAATAAAATAACCTTAAAGTTAAAGGGGAAAAAGGGGTAAATTTTTGGGTTGTAATGTAAACTAGTTTAGTTTACATGGGCCCTTGAATAAATGATTATTCAAAGGGTAGCATATAAATTCGTGGGGTCCCTTTATAAAATAAGATTTTATTGGGTTGGAAGTGAAAAACAAATAATTTTGCAATATGAAGTTATATATAAGTGCAAAAGGTTGCATTTTTGTTCATTCTTGACTAGTTCACAAAAACACAAACCAAAACTCTCTCTCAAACCCAAGGCCACTCTCTAATCTCTCAAGGTGGTGTTAAAGTGTGGAGGTTTCATCCTTTTGAAGCTAATCTTCATCAATCCAAAGCAAAGGAGTAGGTATAATCTCTTTTCCAAGCTTTGTTTGAAAACCGGTTTTAGAATCCATGCTTTCATGCTTTCATTCTCCATCTCCACCACTCTTCATGCATGCTGATTCTTTCACTGGAAAGAGGAATGTGGTCGGGAGGGCCAAAGAGGGGAAGGCTGGGTGCTGGGCGGGCAAGGCTTGCAGTGGACTTTTATCGAACAGTTTCGTGCACAATAAAAGCATCCAAAACCCCAGCAATGCAACCACGTTTTCCAGGGATTTGCAACAATCCAAACACAGTAAGAAACCACAAAAAATTGTAGAAAATCAATCCAAAAACACATAAAAATAGGTCCACAAAAATTCCAGATCTGTAGATTCTATGAACTTTCAAGGAAAATTCCCAGTGATAGAAGAAACAAACAGAGGCAGTGACGAAACATCCGATAGCCTGTTCAATAATCTTTCCAACGGTTGGTGGATTGTTCAATTTCGACACCGGACACGCTCAGAACAAGCCGCCGAAGTTCCGACAGCAAGAACAAGTAGATATACAGATTCTATGAAATTTCACGACCAAATCCCAGAGAAATACACAGCAAACGCCAGCAGTGATGGAACGACCAGAAACCTAATTAAAAAACTTTGCAATAGTGGGTGGATCGTCTGATTCCGACACTGGACGCACCCATACCAAGCCGCCGAAGTTCCAATCGCGAGAAAGAGCAGTTCTATAGATTTCGTGAAATTTCACAGCCAAATTCTGGCAAAATACCCAGTGACCACCGACAGTGATGAAACTACCAGAAAGATAATTCAAAACCCTTTCCAACGGTGGGTGGATAGCTCGATTCCGACACCGGACGCACCCGAAATAAGCCGCCGAAGTTCGGCTGTGAGAACGAGCAGATCTGCAGATTCCGTGAAATTTCAAGGCCAAACCCATCGAAATACACAGCGAACGCCGGTAGTGATGAAACAACCAAAAAGCTCATTCCAAACTTTTTCCAACGGTCCCTAAACCCTAAACCCTAAACCCTAAAACCCAAAACCCAAAACCCTTAACCCTAAAACCCAAAACCCAAAACCCTAAACCCTAAAACCCTAAACCTAAACCTAAACCTAAACCTAAACCCTAAAACCAAACCTAACCTTAAACCCTTAAAACCCCAAAACCCTAAAACCCTAAACCCTAAACCCATATCACATGGAACTGAGCCGAGATCTCGTACTTAGGTGCTAGACCCAAAATCTTGGCCCGAACTAGATCAAAAATAGCTAAGACAATATCTTTGCGAGAGCTAATGCTGACAAAACACGCGATTATTCCGTTCAAACCATAGGAAATAAACTATGGCTGAAAGGACCAACCGGGAAAGAAGGTGGCTGAAATCACCTTTTCGTCGAAGATGCAAGCTAGCCCACTGGAGTAGAGGGAGCCAGGAGAGAGTAGGCCATGTAGAAAGTGTCCTGGTAGTGACCTCCCACCAAACATCACTAGAAAAATCATAACTGAAAAACAAATGTCATGGGTCTTTGTAGCTGATCTGCATAAAACACACCTCCTAAACCCTAAACCCTGAACCCTGAACTTTTTTTTGGATAAGGTAAGTACGTATAAAAGACTAAAAAAGTATAAATACGAGGGGCACACCCCAAGAGGATGACTGATAACTCTCAGTCAAGAACCCGTGGGAAAACCCACAAAGTCACGAACAGCATAAAGAGAGCACGCAGGCTCCCCACAAAGCAATAAGATTCCATAAATAACAAAGCCACAAACCAGCATAAAAGAGCACGTAGGGTCACCACAAACCAGCACAAAAGAGTAAGCAGTGTCCTTACCAAGCTAATCAAGATGATGCCATATCACATGGAGCTGAGTTGAGATCTCATAATTAGGTGCTAGACCCAAAATCTTGGCCCAAACTAGATCAAAAATAGCTAAGACAATATCTCTACGAGAGCTATAATGCTGACGAAACACGCGATTATTCCATTCAAACCATAGGAAATAAACTATGGATGAAAGGACCAACCGGGAAAGAAGGTGGCTGAAATCACCTTTTCGTCGAAGATGCAAGCTAGCTCACTGGAGTAGAGGGAGCCAGGAGAGAGTAGGCCATGTAGAAAGCATCCTGGTAGTGACCTCCCGCCAAACATCACTAGAAAAATCATAACTGAAAAACAAATGGTCATGGGTCTCTGTAGCTGATCTGCATAAATCACACCGAGAGGACGTAATGACACCATGAGAGTTGAGTCGGTCCATGGTGTGAAGCTGACCAAGAGAAGCGACCCAGAGAATGAAAGAGGGATGTGGAATATGCTCGGGAAACCACAAGAGATGATGAATCGAGTTCACATCCTGTTTGTCTCGTAACACATTCCAAGCTGAATCAATAAAGAAACGTCCAGATGGATGGCCCTTCCATACAAGACGGGGAGGATAACTCGCTGAAGGCTGCACTGTAATAGAATCCCAGATGTGTTGAAGGTTTGCACTGCCCGAGGGAAAGTCCCACAAACAATCCCGAATAATGTCTGAAACCCGAGCATCCCACAACAAACCAGTGGAGGTTAAGGTTCTAAAAGGGAGTAAGTCACATAGAAGACTATGCGGAAGCCAGTGATCTCGCCATAACATGGTGTCCCTACCATCTCTAATACAAGTCACAATAAGACCCTGACACCAAACCCTGCTAAGTAAAATCTTCCTCCAAGCCCATGAAGCCCCAGAGGTAACTCGGATATGCCAAAAGGACCAACCATGGAGGAGAACCAAACGGGCCCAAGAAGACCATATAGAAGATCTATCAATAAGTAGCCTCCAAACGTGTTTAAGAATAGCCGCCCTATTCCAATCTTGGATCCTCTTAATCCCCAGGCCACCCTCCATCAATGGATAGCAAATAGAAGACCACGCAACCTTAGCACCAGAAGGGGACAAAGAAGTACCCTTCCAAAGAAATGAGGCCAAAATACTCTCAATCCGTCTAACTGTAGCTGCCTGCAAAAGAAACATGGAGGACCAATAAACCTGTATGAAGAGAAGTACCGACTTTATCAACTGTAGTTGGCCTATATAGGTCAAAGATGCCGACGTCCATAGCCTAATCCGAGAAAGAATTCGCTCCAACAGAGGCCTACAATCAGAATGTCCAAGGGGGGTAGAGATTAGAGGAACCCCTAGATATCTTACCTGTAACTAGCCCAACTAGAAACCCATGATGGACTGTAACCCAATCTGCTCCTCATCTGTAACTCCAAAAAGAAACAACTGGCTCTTTTCTGTATTAGTCACTAACCCAAAAACCTTCGCAAAATAATCCAAGACCGATTTGATCAAGCTAATAGAGGAAGCATCTGCTCTACAAAACACCATCAACTCATCTGCAAAACACAAATGAGTAATAGCTGCTCACCTACATCTCCAATGATAATGAAATCTAGGGCTATGAGAGGTTTCCCGAAAAAATACCAGCTAACTCCTCCATAGCCAACACAAAAAGGTAAGGAGAAAAAGGGTCCCCCTACCGCACACCCCAGGAGGACCTAAAAAAACCGTGAAGCTCTCCGTTCAGGGCAACAAAGAAATATGGTGTAGAGATACATGTCATGATCCACCTCACCTATGCTCAGGAAAACCCACAATACGCAATCTCTAAAGGATGAAATCCTAACTCACAGTATCAAAAGCTTTCCAAATATTAACTTTAAGGGCACATCGAGGTGAAGTACCCCCAAGATGATAGTTTCGCAAAAGCTCCTGAGTCAGCAGAATATTATCAGAAATCCTTCAACCTGGGACAAAAGCTGACTGGGAAACCCCAATAATATCTGGAAGCACTACACTTGTAAAGTACATTACAACAAGATATCGGCCTAAAGCCCGTCATACGACTCGGGCTCTCCACCTTAGGAACCAAAGCAATCCTAGTGGCATTAACACATCTTAGCATTTCATTAGTAGCAAAAAAATGTTTCACTGCATCTCTAAAATCTGTACCAATAATATCCCATGCCCACTTAAAAAACAAAGATGTGAATCCATCCGGGCCCAAGGCTTTATCATCAGGGATAGAGAATAAAGCAATCCTAACCTCATCATTAGTGATAGGAGCAGTCAATGGAGAAATCATATTCGAAGAAATGCAGCCAGAAAAAGGCCTGGAAGCCTCTGCAATCTGAGGTTGACTAGAGGCAGTAAGAAGATCCTAAAAAAACCCACCGCCAAACGCACTAAACCCTGATTATCAGTAATATAAGTACCATTCCCATCAGTCAAACCATGGATGCGGTTCCAAACCTGCCTATAGATCAGCGACTTATGAAAGAACCTAGTGTTCCAATCCCTTAAGTGTAGCCACTGAACATGAGACCGCTGCTGAAAGAAAGCCTCCTCATCTCGACAAAGACTAAAATACTGGTTGGCAAGGTTCCTCTCCTCAGAGATACACTCAATAGAAAAGGGGTCTTGATCCAAATTTCCTTGGGCTGTTGCCCACCAAACTCGAGCCTCAATTACCCTACTAGAGATATGACTAGAAACCCTAATATGTAAAGCTTTTAGCTTCCGTTTGGCTAACCCCAATTTCTGCGTAAGACGGAATATAGGATTGCCTACAATAGGCTCGTCCCAAACTACCGGAACAATATCCCTAAAATTTACATTATCAGCCCAAAAATTTAAAAATTTAAAAAGGGATGGTACCTTGCCACAGCGGGGACCAAACCAAACGACAATAGAGCTATGATCTAAAACATCTCGAGGTGAAAACTCTGAAACTGTGCTTGATCGATCAAGGAACCAAGAAAGTGATGCAAAGACCCAATCGCGCTTTAGTAAAATAATCCCATCGCCCTGTTGACCGTTATGCCAAGTATACCGAAGCCAACTAAAAGGAACCCCAATCAACTCAGCATCATGGATACATTGGCCAAAATCATCCATATAACCATACCACGTAGGATCACCACCCACTCTGTCAGAGGCTCCCAAGATGGCATTAAAATCACCCAACACAAGCCACGGGAGCCCCTCTAAACCAAACACTACCGACTGATCCCTAAGGAAATCCCACAAATCATGGCAATTCCCAGGGTCATTAGAACCATACACAAAAGTAATCCCAAATGAGAACCCCTCAGAAACATGAGTAACCGTGTAAGTAATCTCCTGAAGAGAGCAATGAAGACTATGCACAGAGTAAAGAGAAGAGTCCCAACATACCAGAACACGGCAAGCAATAGAATCTATCACATTCGATAAAAACTGCCACGAAGGACAAACAGATGAGACCACTAATTGTAAATGAGACCGCTCAACCTTAGTCTCCAACAAACCAATCAATCCCAAAGATGTGTCAGAAATCCAATTCCGCACAGCGCGTTGTTTCGAGAAGCTGTTAAGGCCTTTAATATTCCAACTCCCTATCATTGGAATTGGGATAGAAACAAGCTAAGAAATCACTTGAGCTGAAGCCCCCGCTTTCCCTAACCTATCCCCTTTGCCAGGCGTGGCAAGGAAACTGATCCAGATAAGGTGGCATCTAGTGTCTGGAGATCGTCACTATACAGAACAAGCGAGGCAAACCTGTTGGAAGAGGTAGATTGCCTACTCCCAGAACTCATAAAGGATTGAGTGTTTTCTATGCAATTTTTAAATCCTATAATACGATCTTGCTCATCCTTAATAGGAAAAGGGGAATCAGGTTCCGACCCCGATTCAAAGCCGAAAAATTCACCTCTGCTAGCACGAACAGTCTGCTGATACGGGACTAAAGCCAAAGAAGCATCCCCAACTCTAACTGTACTTGGAACTGAAATTGTAGATGGCACTAAAACATCCCTCTCCATCCCCCGCTCCCTCTCCCTAATGGGATCAATAGTGGCTGGCTGCCTCAAAGGCTCGTAGTTTTTAGATTGCACTGCTTTCCCTGGTGCCTTCTGGAAACTAGTGACTATCTTATTCTTACCTTGAGCTATAGCTGCAGTAGGTACCTCTGGTTGGTGACAAACATGACCAAAAACATAGCACTTAGGGCACCTCTTGGGGGTCCACTCATATTCCACTATAATCTGAATAGCCTCCACAGATATCCGGCACTGAAATTCAATATGACATCTTAGAGGCTTTGCTGCATCTAGCTCAACACATACCCGACCATAATCCAAACGGGTCCGCTCTGATGTTGTCTTATCACTAGATAACAGTCGACCTAACATAGAGGAAACTATGCAGAGTCCTTTGTGGGACCACAAAGGATAAGGCAAACCATTCAAACGAGCCCATACCAGAACCTTAGAGATGCGGCCTTTATCAAAAGTAAACTGAGCATGCCATTGTTGCAGAATAATAGACTTACCCCTAAACATCCATGACCCTCTCTCAAGGATTGAATGCACCGCATCCTTGTCCCTAAATCTGAAAATGTAGAAACCAGTACCTGTGGACATAACATCTTCCAACCCCGTAGCTTCCCATGCATGGAAAGCAATTGAACGGACAGCATGAAATGGCATAGAATACCCCAGGAAACAACCCACAATACAGCGAAGCCATTCAACATCATTGTCATCAATAACATCATCTAGTATATGTAAGATGTCATCCTTAATATCAAGGTCAACAGCTGCAAGGGTGAAATGGGACCCGACCTTTGTCACTCTAACCTTGTCCGCCCAAGAGGAGGACACTTTTGATGTGTTCTTTCCCATACTTTTCTGCTCTACTGGCTTAGGGACTGGCTTTTTTTCACGGGGCTTAGAAGATGCCCAATTGAGCTTAAAAAGCTTCTTAGACTTTGGCATTTTTAAGCCATTAAACGATTGCAAAGACAAACCTGCAATATCATTAGATTCAAACTCAAGAAAACCAAAGGAAGCGTTTTTGTGATGAAAAATCTTGGCTCCTTGAATCGCCACATTTGAGAAAACGGATAACAAATACTTGTCACCATCCATGGCTCCAAATCCCCAATCCATAAAGATTTCGCCGAATTCTCAGAAGTTTGTGGCTGTTGGGAGCTGTGTGAGGTAGTGTTTAATGTTTTGGCTTGGGTTGGGGCCGGCACGGTGTTATTTGGGAGTGAGGGGTTTTGTTCAGACATTTTTTCAAACACTTGGTGGCAGGAAAAAAAGGTGTGATTTTGGTGAGTTTCAAAGTTTGAAAGAGTGGGTATTTGTGAAACAGTGGTTGGAGTGAAGAGGTTTTGGTGTTGGAAAGTGAAATGTGGTCGGGAGGGCTAAAGGGGGAAGGCTGGGCGCTGCGCGTTGGGGCGCTGGGAGCGCTAGGCGCAGGGCACTGGGAGCGATGGGCGTTGCGCACTGGGGCGCTAGCCCCGCGCATGCGCGCACAAGGCTGCACGCAAGGCCTGCAGACTTTTGCCAAACACCTTGCGTGCATGATCAAAACTCGACCAAAATGCAACAAACTTTTCCACGAATATGCAAAATCAAAACCCAACAAGAAACCAAAAGGAAAAAATTGCAGAAAATTAGAAAAAATCACACCAAAACAGGTCCACGAAATGGCATAAAAACCCAACTCAAACCGCACATTCCGGTGAAAAAACAGTGGGTTTTTCTGGGAACCAGAGGTCAACAAGGTGCAAAGAGATGTGGGGATTGTCGATCTTGCCTAGATGAGTCAGTATTGGCACTCCATTGCAATTCCCGATTGAAAAAACCCACTGCGAAAGAAAATCCAGATGTGCAGTTTTCATCAAATTCGACAAAAAAACCCCGACGACCAGAACCCCTGAATGAGGCAGTGACAAAACGACTAGAAAGGGGGTTGAACAAGCTTTCTAAAGACAGTTGGATCGCCGGATTCTGATGTTAGATGTGGCAGGAATTACATGGCAAAGTAAAGGCAGCGGCCACGAGTTGAGAGCAAAAAACACTTGAAAAAAATTCTTGTTTTTTTCCCCTCCCTCTGAAAGATTCAACATGCATGAAGAGTGGTGGAGATGGAGAATGAAAGCATGAAAGCATGGATTAAAAAAAAGGGTTTACATGCAAAGCTTGGATATGAGATTATACCTACTCCTTTGCTTTGGATTGATGAAAATTAGCTTCAAAAGGATGAAACCTCCACACTTTAACACCACCTTGAAAGGATTAGAGAGTGGCCTTGGCTAGGGAGAGAGNTATGATGTTATTCAGGAAAAGTATGTCTTTAAACAGGTTTCGCAGTTTTTCTACATGGCACGTCTCGGGTATCCGAGTCTTGTGGGAGCCCCCGGATCCTACGGGATGAGGAATTTCGGGACGGGTTGTGTCAGGGATCATAAATTCTTTATAGATACCGATTCTTTCTTCATGGAGCACCATATATCTGAGACTATAAAGAAAACCTAGAATATATGGTTAGACAAGAAGGAACCAATTCTTGTTGGAGTTGGGTCTAACTCCTCACCCAAAAGGCCTTATTGAGTGGGAGGATTATCTACTTTTATAAACTCATTGGCTTAAGTGTGCCTAGTCGATATGGGATCTCCAACACCAATGGCCACTTTAGGTATCAGGATTTAAATCGTTAGTTTAAAGTCTTTGGGGGATAAACACACTCAGAGTTTCTATCGAGTGAAACAATAAGATAAAATTGCAAAGCGGCTCCTTCAAAAGGCCTTTACTGTATATAATATGTAACTTGCTAAAAGGCCTTATGCTGCTTCTCCTCTAATATAACCTGATTCTAGTTATTTCACGGAGCTTAATTAATAAATATAATGAATCTATTCAATTTATCTCCCTTTTCAAGAGTAGATTTTCCGATCTGAATAGAACCACGATTCATTTGTTAATCGATTCTTTATTATTCAAGTCACAGTCCTTGCGTTTTTCCCAGTGGGAATGAGAGAAAGAATTTAATGAATGAAGATTCTCATCCTTCGATCAAATAAGTTTAACAATCTTTTCCCGAGGGAACTTCGCCGTCTCGAATCTTAGATCTTGCTGATAATTTCACTGAGATGTGAAACAGAACCATTGATTCATTTGGAACAATACCAAGATGAATAAATAATTTCACTGAGATGATGAAGATGCTATCTTCTGGACTAGAACTAAAATATGGATCTGATTCAAATTTTTATTCAGGTTATATGGAGCGTGCATTACTTGTGAATAAAGGTGAAATGGCTAAATGCAGTACAATTTTGAAACTTGTGAGAATTTTTAGACCTTTCAAAAAATAATTACTCGGAGGAGATTCCTACTGAAGTGAGTGACAAATCTTGGAGCACTGTATTCACTAAATCTATCACACAATTCTTTTTATTGGGAGAATCCCAGAAAACATTGGTGCTATAGGATCACTATAATCTGTTGATTTATCTGAAAATCAACTCTGTGATGAAATCTTATCAAGCATTTCGAAGTTCAAGCTTTTGAGTCACTTGAATTTATCCAACATAAATGCTGATTATCAGGTCTTTGAGGATCTGATTTACCCTTGATTCATTTAATGATTTAGTTTAACTTGGCCATGGCACATATTTCATTCAAATGAAATAAGACTCCAATAGTGGAAGACTTAAAGAAAATTAAAACATAATTGACTTTTAAGTCTTCTCTGTAAGTGGGAGAGTTAAAAGAAACTATAACATCATTGACTTAAGTCTACTCTGTTAGTGGGAGACTTAAAGAAACTATATAACACAATTGAAAGTGGAAGGACAGTCCAGGATAGTGGAGACTTAAAAGTCTTCTCTTGACCCCAGAGTCCATTATTCTTAAATTAAAGCCATTTCTATGCAATTATCAGAGCTTAATTAAGTAACCACTGATTAGTACTTCAGTTCAATACAAGATATTTATGGATCCTATAATTTATCTAAGGCCATGTTTACTTGTTGGAATTTTATATTGAAATGGAAAGGAAAATGGAATGAATACATATTCGGATAATTAATCAAGAATGAAATGCATTATGATTTCATTGTATACTATAAGATGAAATATTGAGCGATGAAATCAAATGGGCCCCAAACAGAGTAGATAACTAAAGTAATTAGAATTGGACACTAGGAATATTTCTCAACAAACTAAGCAAATACTACACAGCTTTATAAAATATGAAAGGCAAGCTATAGAAAATTTATAGAAGGCATGACTGTCTTAGGTTAAATTTTTGATAGACAATATGTCGTCAAGCTTTATACATGAATAAATGGTAAACATTATATGCTAACTCGCTCAAAGAATGTTTTGGACTTGGAGAAGAGATTTTTTGTTAGGTGTGAGTTGTAATGTGGTGTGATTTGTGAGAAAAGAGCAAAGCCTTCGTTGTGGTCAATAACTTAATACATAATTAATTCCATGCTAATTAATCACCAGTTTAATGGAACTTTTTACTTTTGATTTTTTTTTTTTTTTAGTCAAAATTTAATACTTTGGCTTTAATTTTTCAAACTTTGTGTGCTACGTAAAACATGTGGAATGGATATCAGATATAACATTTATATGGTTAGACAAGATGAAATACTTGTTCAAGGGAAGAAATGGTGCTTCAAAAGATAAGAGTATAATCACAATCTAAATTATGTGATCTCCGTTTTGGACAGAGCTTGAAACGGAGTAATTTCCTAAGAGATCACCATTCTCATATGTGCTTGTTATATGTTATCCTTTTTAATTAACTTGGATTCCTTGCCAATTATTAAACAAACGTCCATTAAATATAAAACATATTACAATAATTTACATAAAAATCAGCACATTGTGTGAAAAGAAGAAGACGTAACAGAGAGGTTAAGTAAGCAAGTATTGCGAGCATTTCTCCATCATTCTTTCACTTCAATGATATATTAAACTTGAAGGAGGGGTTAGAAAATTCAATTAAAACTTTTATAGTTTTCTACTGTAATCTTATTGACTAAATTATAGATATGTGAGGAAAGAACAAAGCCTCAATTGCAGTCAAGAACTTAATGCATTCACATGCATAATTAAATTTAAGTCCTCACTAATTAATCACCAAGTTTATGGTACTTTTCACTTTAACCTTTTTTTTTTTTTTTTTTTTTTTTAGTTATCAAGTTTAATACTTGGCTTTAATCTTTCGAACTTTGTGTGCCATGTAAACATGTGGAATTGATATCAGATATAATGTCATGCATATTTGCATACTTGTAGAACAAAAGTATATGGAACCCACATTGAAATCAAATCAATACAACTTGTGAATATCACTTGAGTCCATTGATTTCTCCACAAAAAATTTACATATAAAATGTAATAAACAAAAGAAAGAGAAAAATTGAAAAGAAAGAACTGTCCATGAATCTATCATACTGCAGTGATCACTTGATTTCAGATTTGCCAAATTAGTTTGAAACCGTAGGAAATGAAAACTGTTATCTTTTTTTTTTGTCATATTTATTATTATTATTATTATTTATTTATTTATTTATTTTTGTGCACGGCTTCTGATGAGGTGAATTCATTCTGGTATATTAGTGGAAGACTTAAAGAATTTAAAATATAATTGACGTGAAGTCCACTCTGTTAGTGGGAGACAGAGAGAAATAGAAGTCTACAAAGTCTTCTGCTATTTGCTACCTTTCCAAATTGTATTATATGGATTGATTATTTGCAATTGATTCTAATTGAGGTCCAGTCTGTTAGTGGGAGACTTATAGAAATTAAAAGTCGCAAAAGTCTTTTTTAATGGAAATGGATATATATTAGATCAATGAATCAATACTGGAATGCATTATGGTTCCTTTGTTTACATATAAGATGAAATATTGATGGAGAGGAATCAAATGGGTGGTATGTGGACAAAAATACCCTCACCAATAAAATAGCCAATATAAATTAAAAACTGTTATTTTACTTTTAAATAAAAACATAATTATGTAAATAATAATAAATAAATCTAATATTATATTATTAAATTCATTGGATTCCTTACAAAATTTTGAGGAATCCTTTCCTAATATTTTTAAGGAATGGATTATGCATGAGATTCCAATTCCATACTCAATTCCATTACGTGAACAACGGAATTAGGATTCCATTATCAATTCTTAGAAGTAAACATGGCCTAAGGAAATAAAAGTTATCAAACAACTTCATTTTCCATCCTTATTCATTTGTCGAT